TATATAAATTTTTTTTTTATAAGTGTAAGATTTATAGGTAAGAAGTGAATATAAAACTCCAAGAGAAGTTAATTTTATATCTCATGAAGTATCAAGTGGTTCGAATCTTCTTGAATACAAATAATTCTTTGAGTTATAGTGTGAGTACCAATGAAATTTTTTTTGCTTAATATGTACAACCAATGTCAGACGTAATAATTAAGAAAAACTTCTTTGCATTTCTAATACTTCGTTATCTATACACCATCAACCAATTATATCATATAACACAAATAAAAAATTCTTTTTAATAATCATATTCTTCTTCATTTGTATCATTGTTTAAAATCAAGATATGGGTCTCGGTGGATTCACTTTTATATAACCTTCTCCTTTTCTTAATATATATACTTCCTCTCTGTTCAAGTAGTCGTGAAAAGATTTCCCTTATTAGTAGTTGTTCTTGTCCTTGGTCAATCAAGAAACTTATTATGGAAAAGGCTTTTAAGTTTAGTGGACAAATTTAATTATAAATAATTTGGGTGGGCGGGGCTCAATTAATGATTAGAAAAGCCCCTAAAGTTCTTTTTTATTTTCAAATCAATGAGTAATCTTTTATCCCATGTTGATTATTTTTACATATCTACTCATCATTACATCCACAATATGCAAGTTCTTTAATATTACGTGCGGACGAATAAAGATGATATTATATATATATATATATATATATAGATTGGGAAAACTGAATGGACGGCCTTCCAAATGAAACTAAAATATGCATTAAGGCTATGTTTTGTTTAGGTGTGAAATATTTTTAAAAATATTTTTTTATTTTTTGATGTCTAATTGTCATAAAATATTTAAGAAGAAAAAAATATTAAAATCTAACAAAAATAATTTACTTTCAATCTTCAGCAACTTATTTTATATGTCTCATCCAATGCGCTCGATTTAGACCTTTGTCAAATATCAAAAAATAAAAATAAAATTAACTGTAGCCTAGTGGTACAAGGCCCTACTTCTCAAAAGGAGATCAGAGGTTCGAACCTCAATGGAGGCAGTGTGTATGAGTACCAATTAGCCTAAATTTCAGTGCTCCTAATATAATTTTTCAGTATTTCTTGAAGATATGATTGGTGAAAATGTTAGGATTGAGTAAGTGGCTTAACTATATTTGATCCTTTAGACTATTACTGCGAATTTTTAACCATGCTTGATTAATTCCATTATTAGCAAATTTTTATGTTATTAAAATTTTCTATTAAACCGTGTGGCTCAGGTGGTATAACTCTCTCTCTCTCTCCCTCCAAACAATGGTGATATATATTAGTAATATAAGGGTGGTTGTCTTTTTTTTTTTCTTAATTGGTGCTCATACACACTTGTCTCTTTTGAGATTTAAACCCCTGACCTCCCTTTAAGTTTCAAGTGAAACAAAATTATGAGGGTGTGAGTGAATTATTAATGTAACCAAAATAATAAAAATTAAAAAATTGTATTATATATATATATATATAATGGTGATATATATTAGTAATATAAGGGTGGTTGTCTTTTTTTTTTCCTTAATTGGTACTTATACACACTTGTCTTTTTTGAAACTTGAACCCTGACCTCCCTTTAAGAGATAAAAGACTGATACCGCTGGGTCACTAACCCGTTTGTATAAGGATGGTCATCGTGTTGCTCACTTGCTTTATGTAATTACATGCTTATGTTTATGCACGCACAAACTGCATGACACACTAGAAAGACATCGGCTACTGTTGATATGTAAAAATGAAATCCTGATTTGATGTGGGGTTGATGAAACTTTTCATATTCTCCAATTTTTATCTACTTTTTTATTTCCCTCTATTCTTCGTATATTTTCCCTCTTCTCTCACATTATGTGGTCTCCTTCCTCTCATTAGGATTTCAAGCTCTACAAATAACAGATGTTTTACTTCAATTATAAAAAATAGGGAATATCCTAAGAGAAAAAGTGAAGCTAAATGTTTAACAACATTTAAATTTAAGAATTTTGAATTTTTATTGAGTATGAATATTTGGTATGACAGCATTAATATTATGCATATCTTGAGATTGTAAGTTTTTATTAACTAAATTAATAACAAATAATAAAAACTCGACGGTCGAAGAAAAACAGATTCAAGGAGTTTGACTTTAATAGCTCCTATGGCTCGAGAAAAATTTGGTTGCGCCCGTTACACCATGTAACGGACACATTAAGAGGGTCCATGTAATACACGCGTGGTAATAAACAGCCCGTTACATAGTGCAACAGACACAACCAAAATTTTCTCCTATGGTTCAATGGAAAACAGTATTCCACATTTTCTCAAAATCATTGGCAAATGATAGTGTCTTGAACAAACCCAATCATTAATAAAAATTTCCTTGAGTAGTGCCTTGAACAAACCCAAGCATTGATAAAATTTAGGTCTACAATCCTCACGTTACTCCTCATGCAAGATTTTTATCAAAAACTGAAAAAGAATATCAGTTATATACAAAGTGAGGTCATGACGGACCTCAATTTTGAATTTAAACCCATAAAAAATTGGAGGGGAATTATTATTAAACGTACCTATATAATTTGGGAATCATTGAACATGAATGAAAATCATAATTCGGCCAATTGTTTGCTTGCCACTTCTTCCAACAGCGAGATTCGGTTAATGAGGTCCATAGTTGAAGTTTGAATGAATGGAGACCATCTCTTTCATTCATCCAAAAATACCATGGTGTAACTAGGGATTGAACCTGCCACAACCAAAATCTTCCTAGGGGTACAAAACCACCCACACTAGATTTTGTTTGGATTTTCAAAACTTACAATTCTCAACTCCTAAATAAAAAAAAATAAAAATAAAAACACACGCATGCACCCACACACAGGGTGTTAGAGGGATTGAACCTGCCACACGCACACATTGTTAGAGGGGTCTTATCCCACCTCGGATTTGAATGGTTATTGGGTATGCAGTACTACCCAATAGCTTAATTTTTTTATTCAGAAGGCAAACATCTGATTCGTTATTGTTGATACCAAAGTCAGACTTAATTCTTGATCTAATATTACACCAAGCGTCCATCTATGTGTGTCACCTCAAGGGGTGCCTAGGTCCAAGCCGAATAGACATTACACTTGGAATTAAATTCCACCTAAACTGATTTAAGACGCAAGAACCCCCTTCCCCTCGGCAGCCGAATAGACTCGAGACTAACACAAATAAGGCTCATCTTTAAATAAATAAAAATATAACAAGTATATATACTATATACACACATATCATTTCCACAATTTTTCGAATGGAAATCGCGCATGGTAGTTTGTTTTATGTTTTTATGTCAATAATGACTTGGAACTAAATGGTTGGCATCACCAGAAATGGATGACTTTCGAATCCACGTTTAGTTTAGTTTTCATAGAGCATAAATATAAACTATGTTTGGAAGCATAAAATCGATGGGCATCTTAAATTGGTATTGAACGAAAGTCAAATATGGTAATGCAAGGTACTTTAGCTCCACTTGACATAAAAATATATGATTGCACAATCATTATTTATTTTATACAACAATAACTGAAATAGTATCAAACATGATTTTACTTGCTCAAATATTCTAATATATGCAACTAACTCCATAACTGCTATAACTGAAATCATATTAATCTACATTATAAAATGGAGAGTCAATGTTTAGCAAGTTGGAGAATCAATTAACAGACATGGAAATTCATGTGGTCACATTAACTAAGAGGAGATGGGTGAGACCATTGCTGAAGAATGGTCAAAGAAAACCCTAATTATAAAGCACATTTTCAATTATATATTCTTCTGCCATGTGCAGCTTTTCATTATATTCATGTTTGGGTAAAAATATGTTTGAGAGAAATACCCTATTTAATTAATTCTTTGAGATTTTGTGGTAATTTTTGCTAATGGTGTCTTACATATATTTTGTATATCTAAACATACAAACAAAGAAAACTAATAATAAAGCTACAGTGACAGAAGAACTAATATTTTAGAACATCCCCACAAAGACGGAACTATATTGTTTTTTATTATTATTTACCGAAAAAAAATTCAAAAATAATTTTGAAGATACGAGTATAATGATGTTTACAAATTTATGTTAGAAAAAATGACCATAAATTTGTAAACATCATTATACTCGTATATTCAAAATTATTTTTGAATTTTTTTCGGTAAATAATAAAAAAAAAACTATATATATATATATATATATATATATATATATATATCCTACATTCTTAGACTAATCAATCAAATCTGAATAATATCTAAAATGGGTATTACTCATTCAATATATATTGATATGAATTGGTAAAAAAAAATGTTTCTTTTTATATTTGACCAAGAAAATGATTTAGAATTCAAAAGGAAAAACTGAAAAAAAAATTTATATATTTTCTATAAATCCAGCCAATTAATTTTGTGAAAAATCATATCAATTTTGGTGAAATAGCAACAAAATTGGGTGTTCAAGTGCATTTGAAAGGAATTCCTAGAATTTTAAAGCCCTATTGACAGTTTTAGATTAACATAGAAGACCAAATTGAAACAACCTCTATGGGCCGGATTTGGCCCATTTAGGTGAAGAAGTGGCTACAATCACATATTGGGCTTTAACCAATAACAAGATTATGGTAGAGTTCTTGAAAATTAATGCTATAAAAAGGCCCAGAAACAAATGACATAAATTTGAAAGTCATTGGTCCATCTAAATTGACAACCTTATCAAAATCACACGTAATATACAGGAACTCACTCTCACATTTTGAAGGTCGAGTGCTCAAATTTCTTTTAAATCATTCAAAAAAAAAAAAAAAAAATCGATAATTGCCTTGTATATATGGGATGGACACTGCATGTTAGATGTTTGATACCACCATTATCGACAAAAAAAATAAATATATATATAAATATTAATAACAAAGTGCATACAAGAGAAAGCAAGGGTATTAAAGAAACAAAATCAATAAATAAAATATAAATGACCAACTCAATTGCATAATTTTAATATGCTTTATTGTCAAGCTTTATTACATTTGACCAGAGCTTTCTAAAAAGAAAGTCTGACATCAATGGATGGTTTTACTAATACCATTTCAGGTAGAAGCAAAACCCTAACAATACCTAAAACAAAAATTACAATAGTACCCCACTTTAGCATTATTGCTAAAGCTTTTATTACATTTAGATTTCTCTTCTTAGTAGAAATCTCAAGCAACAATAAAAAATTTCACCTATACCCAGAGAGAGCTAGGCAGAAGCAACAAACCCTAAAAAATAAAAAATAAAAAAACTAAAATAAAAAGCAATAGGTCCCACACGCACATCTGATAACGGGTTCTTCTTTCATTCACTTCTTGTCTTGAGCTGCAGGTAGAGCTTCCTGAGCTGTTTGGGCTCCCTGAGATCCATGAGGTGCACCCACTCCAAGTGTGTTCTTCACACCGTCTATGGCACCCTGAGCCATGTGCATCACTTGCTCTCCAGTCTGTATCAAATTCATACAAATTATAATCAATAATATCTATTTACGAAGAGAGTAATGATACAAAAATCGATCGGTTTTTGTTGAGATTTCATTAAATAGAGTTCAACAAGGAGTAAAGAATAAGCCATGTCAATTGGTACAAAACCCTAATCCACTTTTATATTATTTTCTTTATGAACACAAAATAGTCACTGGAGCATGAAGAACTATAAAGCATTTTACCAAATGGACGAAAACACCCCTATCCCAAATCCCCATTCCAAACCACTCCAAAAAAATACAAAATAAATGAGTAAAAGAATAAAATAAAAAATAAAAAAACTCCCTTCGAAACCTTCCTGTTAGTTGGGAATGATTTGTGTCACACCACTATGTACAAGGTAGAATAAAGAAATCAGATTGGGACAAATCCAATATTTTTTTATAAAAATAAAATAAAATATCGAATTATAAACAAATACTTGATAATTTTGTGTATTAATTTTACAAATTTGTAACAGAACTATAAAAGATCATGAAGAAAAAAAATTGAAAATTAATAGAACAATAATCGAAATATATTTGCCCCCGGAGGCAGGGCAGTGATGATAGGAGCTCGGCCTGCCACACCAACGGCCCAGGTTCGACTCCTCCCAAGCCTTCCTTATCTTTCGACTCACCCGATGTTATCCTTGGGGCGAAACTCTTACACACCCAGATTTGTAGTTTAGGGTGAGTCTCGAAGAGGCCCTGCCTAGGTGAGTTCCTGATGCTAACTAAAAAAAAATTTATTGAAATATATTTTTATAACTAGCAAGATGGATTTCTGGCTCTCCTTTCCAAACTTTCTAAATACACCCAAATCCGGGTAAAAAAGTCACATCCATTTCCACCTTTATATATATAGATACGTGTGTGTGTGTGTGTGTGTGTGTGTGTATATATATATATATATATGCGTGTGTGTATATAATATATACAATTATACATATATGATATATCTGTGTGTTAGAGGTGAACCTGCTGCAGGAAACCAGGATTCTGCTCCCTCTCCTGTTGGGCCGTGTCCCTGGAGTCTGCCACATTGTCACAGGCCCTATTTGTTGCATTTTGGGCCGAATTTGCTGTATTTTGGGCCGACTGCACCCACTCTTCTGTCTTGGCCTGCCCATAGTAAGACCGTAAAATTTTTAGAAATACAGGGGTAACATAGTCAAAACACAATATACACACAACTAATCGGGAGATTCATCTTGCCTGAGCGTTGCCACGGGCTTGTCCAGCATTGTACTGAGCAGTAGACATGTTTCCTTCGAAAATTACGAAAATGGTACAAGTAACTTTTTGCTTTTTTGGCTTCTTAGATCTCAAAATGTTTCTACTTCTGAATGTTCTGTGATTTTGTTGATGTATATATATATATATTGTATCTGAGTGTTTGAGAGTGACACGTGGCAATTGATGGGGAGGTGTTGAGCGAGTTTTCTGGGACTAAATGGTCAATAGTTGTGGTCATCTGCGTAGAGTATGTACTTCCATTATTTGAATGCCCTACATATGTGCAATGTGTGTGGATCTTTTGTCCACTCTATAGGAATAACGTGCCTCTCACGTGATCATGAAAAAGTCCAAGTGAGTACCGTGTGAATTGAGTCGTGATATAGGAGTATCCCACCCTCCACAGGACCAAATTTTTATCCTTTATATTTTATGTGGCATGATCAGTGAGAATACCAATTTTGAGGCCAAATTTGACACTGCAATCAGTAAATTTTTTACAAAGTGCTCATTTTACCCATTTCATGGGAGCTCAATTTGCAAGTTCTTGGAGTTCACACCCTTAAAGTTTACTTTGCGTAACATTTTTATCTCTCATTTAAAAAATTATATAAAAAATATCTCTAATCTTTTCACATTGTGTAAAAATATCCCCTCTAACATAAATTAGTGCTGTAATACCCGTTTTGGCCTTTTGCTCTTCCGAAAATTCCCAAGGGATATATATGCTACTAATATCATAATATGGGGGTGTTATGTGTACATTACCTAATATATATATATATATTGAAACATTTTTTTATCTATGTATTTCTAAATATTTTTTTAAAAAACTTTGAAATTTGTAGAACATGGATTTAAATTTTTCGAAATTTCAGTTTACTCTTTTCTACTAATTTTTTTTTATATATGTTTTTGTTTTTTTTCATACCAACACTATTAAACAAAAAAAAAATCCCAATATCAATGTGCACTGATTTTCAAAGTTTTGAAAAATTTTGCTTTCTTTATTTTGCATTTTATTTTTGTTTTTTATTTTCTATTTTTATGTTTACTTTTCTTTTATACTTTTATTTTGTATTTTTTATCTTTACTTATCCATTGTCGGCGTCCTTGTCATTTTCGGTCATTTTATAAAATTATTTATTTTTATATATTTTATAAAATGGTTCAATAAGGGTAATTTAATCAACTTATGGTTTAAATTTGTCAGATGGACTTATTTGTACCATGTTTAAACTTTAGGGGTGTTTTTTGCACGAGAGGAGCATCCTCCAATAGTGTCTTTTTTAATTAATTTACAAAATTATTTATTTTTATATATTTTATAAAATGGTCCAGTTAGAGTAATCTAGTCAAATTAGGGTTTAAATTTGTCAAATGAACTTATTTGTACCAAATTAAAACTTTAACGATTTTTTTGCACGTGTGGATATGATATGCACTTTAAGCATATTTTAGAGATGTTTTTTGCACTTAACCCATTATTTCTAATCCCATGATATGATTCGACAAAGGGAAAAATCTGAAAAACACCGTTATAGTTTTAAATTTGTGCAAATTATACCCATATAATTTATTTTGTTTATATAAATTCATACTAAAGATGAAAATGTGCAACTAAGCACCTGACGGTAGAAAAATGGGCGTTTGTTGGCACATGACCATTTTAAACAATTTACTTCCAAAATTGCCCTTTTTATATTCCTTTACTACCCCCTCACCATATTATTAACCCTAATCTCTCTCTCCCTTTCTCGATGCTGATCCGAAATCTGACTCTATATGGCAGGGTTGCTCATACATAGATTGCATTTACCCAATCCACCACAATGCTTCTACAGAAGATTTAGCCCACTGAAAATAGGAAAAATGAATGGATCTTGGCTCAGTCTCAATCTCTTCGCCGAGAAATAGGACTCTTCTTCTCATGCGCTGGAATAGCCTTTAGCTGATTAGAGCCTTTTAGCTGGGTAATTTCCTTACTGTACGTTGCATAAGGAAGGGCCTCTTTGTTTTCAATTGGCGAAAACTCCTCATCTGAGTCTCTCGTCTTTCTTCCTCCTTCCTCCTACAAAATCTCGTCGATCTCGAATCTCAAGAGAATCGCGATCATTGATCCCATGCCAATAGTCCCATCGTGAACACATTAGCCGCGGTCTCTCTCTCTCTTCACGATCTCACAAATTTATGCATTAATTCCAACACCCTAGGGTTTCTTTATCTGGTGGTGGGCTAAAGTAGTGTTCTTGCTCAGTTTTTTGTGTGATATATAAGGTATATATATATATATATATATATATACAAAAACGTCATTGACAGAGGTTTCTTTGTCTTTTCCTATTTTATGTTATTTAATTATTATTTTTAAATTATAGATAGAGGGTTATTTTAGTCATAAGAGAGGTGAACAAACAATAGGGATTATATACACTATATCGATATCACGGGGTGTAAAGGGTGTAAAGTGACCCTTCGATAAATAATAATCACTTGAGCAGTAGATTGCTACTTTACCTTCTTATACATTAAGAAAACACATTGCGTATATGATTTTAATAAAACAATTAGAATATTTACTTTGTCCTTCGTAAATTTTGATCCTAAATTGAGTAAGCCTGAGAATTTTAATTTTCATCAAGTATGTAAAATTGAGTAATCTTAATTTCTAAGCACTGACCCATCTTTAAAATTAATGTGTGCTTTAGCTGAGATGGTCATTTCATTTTCAATTTTTTTTTTTTCCTTTGAAAGATAATGTTTTGTTGAGAAGAAGAAAATGACTCTAGATTTTCTCTTGATTTGTAACTTTTTCATCTGAAGCATGAGACATGTTGAACTAAAAGATTCCATAAGGGAATCTTGATCCTAAATTGGGTAATCGTGAGAATTTTAATTTTCATCAATTATGTAAAATTGAGTAAGCTTAATTTTTAAGCATTGGCCCATCTTTAAAATTAATGTATCATTACTCACATAAGTTGGAATGCAATATATTTGGTAAATCATTACAACTTTTTTTTAATCATATACACCTGCATTTTGTGGCACTCTCACTTAAGAACAAAAAATCATCTAAATGTGTTTTTTTTTTTAATCATATGCACCTGCAGTTTGCCACAATCATGATAACGTCTATCTTTCGTCTTTCTTTCTATTGTCATGACTTCAAACATTTACCACACCTTTTGTCTCTCTCTCACGGGATCAATGAAGAAAATTCGTTGTTGAGGAATTTCACTTTTTTTTTTTTTTACTAACCCAGAGTTCGGGATGGCACGAATCTTTAGGGTTTCTCAACAATCCGATTAATTCCCTAGGATTTGAAAAGGTGTCTCTCCACTCGAGTCGAGTAAGTCACTGCAGGAACAGCGAAAGCTAGCCACAAAAAATATTCAACGGGACTCAAATCACACACCTTGAGCTTACTAAGCTCCAAGGTCTAGCGAGTACACTGTTGAACTATATCCGAAGTGAATGAGAAATTTCCCATTGCTTCTTTGCACATAACTATTATTTTCTCCGACTCTACTTACTTTCATGCCTTCCACTTGTTCAAAAACTATTTTCAATGACCTAGTTAATAGATCAGTCCCTTCTTTCTTGACTAAACTTCATCAGTGATAGTAGGTGCAAGTTGAAATAATTTAGCATGCCTTGTGGAAACTTACTTATCTTATATATCGTTAATATCCACACCATCTTTGCCTCCGATACTTTCGGCTCTCACAAACTTCATCCATTTTTTCATGATATAATATTTTGACAAAAATATATAATTTATTTTTTAAAAAAAATTACAAGAACGTGCCTTGGAACCAAACATGAGCAAATCTAGCCGAACAAAAATAAAAACGGCGTAAAAAATACCCACAGACACACTTTTTTGAATACGCCGGGCTTATTGTAACTATGGGAGACAATTAGCAAACTCCCCACTCCCATGGAAAGGAGCGCAAAAGGAATAAGATGAGGACTTGTTTAGGGAGATAAAGGCAGTGAGAGGAGGGAGCGTTTTTCTTGTTAAATTAGAACTTATATCAATCACTTTCATTTGATGTTGGTAGAATTGATTTTTTTTCCCAGACATATTGGTAGATCATATTAGTTAATTATTTAGTTTTATCTGTCCATTTTTTATTTATTATTTAAATATTATTTTCTTTTAAAAATTTTACTTTATAACTTTTTAAAAAGTTATCATTCTATTTTATTAATTTCGAGTGTAATTAAATCCAATTAAAAAGTTTAAGTGTAAACTTACAAAAAATTAAGAAAAAAATAAGAAAAAGAAAAAAATCTAGGATATGTAGTAAATTTTATAAAAGTGAAAGGTTTTTTTTTTTATAAACTAACAAAATATAAAACATTAATTGCAGAGAGAAAATTTATATTTGAATCACCCCATCCACGTGGAGAAAGAAGACGCGTTCAGCCTCTAATTCGGGTTTAAGAGTTTGACAATTCTATCAATACTCTCTATGAAAAAAGGAAATATAGGTATGCAATTAGTAATAGTCACAGGCAGAAAAAAAATAATACTTAGGTCCTCACTAGTGAGGATATAAAACATACTCAACTGATGTGGACCAATAATAAATGGATATGTGATATTTAATTATCAAATTAAAGATGGTGAGGTAGACTTATCAAATCAAAGATGGTGATTTAATTACCATTTATAATTTGGTAATTAAAATAGGACGGGTCCATTTATTATTGATTCACATCGTGAGTATGTTGTAGGTCCTTAGTAGTGCGGACCTAAATATTGTCCGGAAAAAAAAATGAGTTTTGTTATTTGGTCCGACAAATAAAAACATACTATTTTACCGAGTTTATGTGGCTATTCATGTGTCAAATTTACTGGGACCTATTTTAAAATGAATAATACTTAGATCCTCACTAATGAAATCTACACCATACTTACTGTTGATGTGGATCAATAATAAATGAACATGTTATCTTTAATTACTAAATCAAATACGACAGGTAGATGCCCACTTACCAAATTAGAAATGCTTATTTGATTACCATCTATTATTTAATAATTAAATAGAATGTACTCATTTATTATTGGTCCACATCGGTGAGT